CCCCCCCCCGCAGCGCCGCCTCCCTCCCCAGGGCTGGCTGTGTACAGGAGCGGGCGTTTCCCGAAGGAAATCCATGATCCAAACGTTTTCGAGGCGCTAAAGTAGAAGTTTAACCTCGGTTTCCTTGGATGTGAATTCCTCTGGGGCTGGAGTAACTGGTTTATTACACAACATCCGACATTTTTCCTTGGCGATGCTTACATACAAACGGAACTGGTGATCCCAACTTGGGGATTTGAGAACAACTATAAAAAGCACACATCTTTGTTGGCAGTTTTGAGCGTAGGTGCCTGTGCTACAGAGGCAGCGCTCTGCTTACAGCCCCATAAGTCACAGGAAGGCTGTGAACAACAGCAAAGAGCTGTCATTCCTTTGTAAAGTGTAACCCCTTTTTGTCATTTAGTGTTCCTTTTGCCACATGCCCTTAGAGGGATGCACTGAACATAGCACAAATCACCGACATAAACCTTCCCACTTCCAGGTTTTTGTTTGCCTGACCCTTTTATTCTGGGATTGCTGGTGCTTTTCAGGTGGTGTTGCAATGTGAGCTGTCAGTGTCTCAGGTATTTTTCACATCCAGGGCTGCTTCTCTTGATTTTTAGGTGACAATATCAGAGAGTTCTTGCTGAGTCTCAGGTATTTCCGAATCTTCATTGCCCTGTGGAATGTCTTCATGATGTTCTGTATGATTGTGTAAGTAACGCTGTGCAGCATCTTGCCATTCATATGCTGGGATTTTCCTTGTGTATTTATGTCTTTATGGATCTCTTTCTCTCCCAATTTATTGTTCCGTAATTCCTTTTCATTTCATTTATTTCAGTCATTAAAGAGATACTGGTTGACCTCACAGATTTTTGCTAGTGCATGAAAACCTTCTCTGTAGCGTGGAAGTCATTTAGCCTTAGATATAGTGCTTCTTGTGGGGCGCTTAGATAAAAAACACCATTTAGGTCAGCGTTTTGGGAAGTTGTTTTTTTTTCGGGGGGGGGGGGGGGGAGGAGATGAACCCACCAAGTAATAGAATGGAATCAGCCTTGAGAGGAGCCTCAGAACAGGTTTTAGTCCCAATAGGCCATTCAGTTGGACCTGGTTCTCATCTCTTTTTTTTTCTGTCCCATCCACTAGGTTATTTGGATCTTGAAAATCCTCCTCAAACCTGCCTGTTCACTTGGAAGAGACTTTTGGCTGGAAACACCTTTTCTACAAAGTACAAGATGACAACGCTTTCCAAACACAGCCCTGGGACCGTGGCCTGTCCGTGGGTGCGAGCTCCTGACGCGCTCGAGGCGTTCCCCTTCAGCCACTCGTGTAGTGCCATGGTGTGTGCTGGCTGCTTGCAGCCGGGGGCACTGAGCCTGGAGGCCCCTGAGGCAAAATCTTCACAATTGTTTCGACTTTAATGAAATACAGAGAACTTTTGAGTGGTTTTGCTCAGCTTAAAGTGCGCGGGGGAAGACCTGGAGAGTCCTGAAGCTCCACAGGGTCAGTCGCTCCCACGCTGGATGTGTCTCCTAATGTCACCCTTGTCTCTGTCACTTGGAAGTCAAACTTCTCAAGTTTCGTTTTTAGAAAGTTGAGCAAAGTATTGGGGTAACTTCTCACTATTCCAGTTCGTTTTGTTGGAGAAATACAAAAGGCTGATTTAAAAAAATGGGATTCTCAAAGTCTGGGTTGGTTTTTTTTCCCCAACAAAATACTTTTAAAATTTCAAAGTGAAGATTTATTTTCTTTTTTTCTAAGCAATATGTAAGGGATAAAGAGCAAAATAATTTGGGAAAAATAATTCTATAAGCCAACGTTAAGGCATACGTTTTGGAATTATCTTGGATTTCGTTGAATAAAGTTGCTCTATTTAAGGGTAAAATATGTATTTGATGCCATGTTCATTCTGTTATAGGAGAAATCCGTTTTGTATTGGTGGTTTTTGAGAAACTGTAACTCACCTCGTCATCCTGTCTGGATTTTTGTGCTTTTATTTAACTTAACTCTGCCAGGGATGGGGCAGCCACA